CAAAGAAAAACAAAGCATCTTAAGGATGCAGAACAGGTCGGGAGGCATCTGTTTCATTTAGGTAGGGTGGTCCAGGAAGACCTCTCTGATAAGGTGAGATCTGAGCAGAGACTTAAATAAAGTGAAAGCATGAAACATGAGGTTACCTAGAGCAGGAGTTGGCAAACTTTTTCTGTAAGGGGCCGGACATGGTTTTTGGCTTTGCAGGCCACACAGTTTCTGTTGCAACTATTTCAGCTTTGCCCTTGGGGCAAGAAAGCAGCCATAGACAATATAAATGAATGGGTGAGGCTGTGTTCCACCAATCCCTTATCTATGGACAGTGAAATTTGCATTTCATGTACTTTTCATGTGTCACAAAACATTATTTTTCTTTTGATTTTTTTCTAACCCTTTTAAAATGTAAAAAACATTCTTAGCTCAGAGGCTGTACAAATATAGAATGTGGGCTATGTTTGTTGACCTCTGATCTCTGATTCCTGAGCTCAAGTACACACATTCCAGGAGAGGGAACAGTTAGACCCTGAGGCGGGAGCAGCAGTATGACTTGCTGATAGAAAGCAAAGGAAATGTGTCAGCTTCTAACTTTTCTTCCTGACCACAACTTGTTCTATTTCGAACTCCCCATAGAAGACAGACACCACATTTCAGAGGAGTGAATGAATCTGGAAAAATTTCTTAGAGGAAGTAGATTTTGAACTGGTTTGGCTTTGAAAAACAAACAAGGTTCCAACAGATGGGCCTGGACATGGAGAGAGAAAGTGTTCTAGTTAGAGGAGTAACCTAAATAAAGGCCTGAAAGTGTAACAGGGAAGAACCTTTGTATTCTATTACAAGTTAATCATCAAAGGGATGTTGCCTATAAGCTTAAATTACACATAATGACCCATATCTGGGACCCCTGCCTCCCAGGTAATGAGCATTAAGCTGAAATGCCTTTGTTTAGCTACAGGAAACATCCTGACCATGCAAACCTATGAATGATTGCAGGAAGGAAGAAATTAACATATCCCTTCTGGAGGCTGTCGGGAAGCAGGAAATGTTTGACTTTACTCCCTCCCCTCTGAGTATAAAAAGGAAGCCTGAATTCTAACTTGGACAAGATGGTTCTTTGGGACACAAGTCCACCCTCTTCTCTGTCCGCTGGCTTTCCTAATAAAGTTGCTATTCCTGCCCCAACACCTCGTCTCTCAATTTATTGGCCTTTTGTGCCGAGAGAAGTGTGAGCTTGGACTCAGTGAGGAAAGTAGCAAAGTAACATGTGAGTTATAGGCCCTTGTGATCCTACTCCAAGTACTGTTTGTTTGTGTTGCATATCCTTATATCTTGACATGGAAGCCTGTAAGTCAGGGGTCCCCAACCCCCAGGCCGTGGACTGGTACTGGTCCATAGTAGTACTTCCATGTTAGGAGCCAGGCCACACAGCGGGAGGTGAGTGGTGAATGAGTAAGTGAAGCTTCATCTGCCTCTGCCCATCACTCCCCATCACTCACATTACCTTCTGAACCATCCCCACCCCCCCACTCTCCAGCTGTCCGGTGCCAAAAATGTTGGGGACCGCTGCTATAAATGGTGGTTCTCAAATTCTAGCCTGCATCAGAAACCTGGGGGAGCTTGTTAAAACCAAGTGTCAGATCCCACCCCCAGGGGTTCTGATTAGGTAGGTCTAGGGCTGAGCCTGAAGATGTGCTTTCCTGGTAAGTTCCCAGGTGATGCTGACGCTGCTGGTCCTAGGACCCCACTTGGAAAACCACGGCCCTACAGGGGTGTCTGCTACAGAGGAAGGATGGGGCCTACCAGTCTTCTACTGAGCTGACCTTCAGAAAGGGGTAGTACCTGAGTATAGTGCCAAGCCCATGGTAGGTTTTCTTGTGCATGAACTCCCTTCCTCTCCTGGCTTCTTTCCTGCAACTATCCAGAAGGGCTTAAAATTTGTAAACATGCTTCATGTGGTACTTCTGCTTCCATATTTTAAAACAAGTTATAGACACGTTTTGCCATCAGCAACAAACAAAGCAATAACATGGAATGGAACGCAGCCCACAACACACTCAGGGAATCCTAGGGTGTCACCGAAGAGAGACAAAGGAAATTGGAGACCTTTTGGAACTGACTCTCACAGTGAGTTTGTGTGTCTTTCTCACAAATTAAATTCTCCAGCAGCTAAGAATATCGTACTGAAACTCCTGTTTACACATACTATTGATTCTTTTGTCTTAACCACCTTTTTAGAGTGACATCTAGGTGAAACTGAGTAGCACATACTTCTTTGAAATAATTCACTTGCGTCAACTTTCCAATGATTAGCAAAAAATCCGGAAGGAATACAATTGGAACATCAGTATGCTCTGAAAGAAACATGTTTTTAAAAATAGAAAATACCAAAAATAAAAATTCTCCTTTGTACTCCAAAATTAAACAGTGAAAAGTGAGGTAAACACAAACACACACACATACATTTGGAAGCAGCACTGCAAAAACATTCAAGTTAAAATTGAACTAAAATCTAATTAAGAATATAGAGCAAAAACTCAAAGCTTGAATGATCAAAATAACTTCTGTCTGCTAACCAGCCCTTCTAAGGGATAAGGCCCTGTCTACAGATTCTGTGGCCTAACTGGCTAAGGCTTGTATCACCTGGCCCTGTGCCCACACCCCCTGCTGTGGTTTACTGGGCACTTGGTCCAAGGATGGCCTATCTCAGGCTCCCCAGCAACCTGTGGCATGGCCAGGCTTGGACCCCTGAGCTGAGCCAATCAGATTGCTCGTCCAGGGGTTGGCAATTTGTAAATCAAGGGAGTAAACCGAGGCAGGCTGGGTCAATGGAGGATGAGAACTAAGTAAGGGCTCACTGTGGACCGTGGAGTTGAGGGTCTGAAGGAGCCCGGTTGTAAAGAGAGGAGGACAGATTCACAAGAAAGAAGCAGAGAGTCCATGGGGCTGCTAAGGGAAAAAGTGACAGACTTGTTCTGGACGGTTCTCAAGTCCCAGTGCACATGTATCCTTAGAATCAACTCCCTTTTTCTTGAAATAAGTAACTCATGTGGGTTTCTTTAAAGGGACTTGAAGCAAACAGCAGCTGTGTTTCTAATTGCTACCATTGTTTTTAGTTAGGAAAGCAAAGCATTTATTTTAAAACAATCCAGCTTATATACTGGGGGAAAAATGGTTTAGAAGCAGGCATGGATCTAGGTTTGGTGAGGCCTGAAGCTTATACAGATTGGGTGGCCAGCTTTAAAAAAAAATAGGAATGCCAAATTACCCATAAAAAATAGGTACAGGACCCTAGAAGGGGCCTGTGCGCATGAGGAGACGTAAAGCCAAGCTTCATTAACTTCACGGTATATTCAACTCTGTTTAGAAGTGAGAACCTGATCCTCAGGGGCAATGTGACCTTGGATACTTCTTTCTCCAGCAATAACCAAGTTTAATTTAAGTAAAAAGTGCCCCACAAAGACATTATACTATCCTCATGCCTTACTTGTGTGTTTTCAAGCTGTAGCTAATGAACCATTCGTGGGCATGAACAGCATTTGTTATAGGATGAAATAGAAAAGAATAGAGGAGAAAACCGGGTGTATCACATAATAGATGAGTAACTGCCATCTTGTGAGACTTTTGCTTCAGTTTTACAAATAGATATGCCAATGGGTCTCATACTGTTTGGTCTCAGGATCTCTTCACACCCTTAAAATATAGAGAGGGCGTCAAAAAGTTGTTTATGTGGGATATTTCTATTGACGTTTACTGTATTAGAAATTAAAACTGAGAATTCAAAATTTTATTTTAAAATTAATGATTGATTTGTTTATTTATTTATTTCTGTGTAAATAAATGTTGCGATCACCCCAAGGAGGCAGAGTGAACCCAACCATTGAGTATCTAAGTGGTGACCACTACCAAGGGTCTCTCTTCTCCTGCTTTGATTCGCTAAGTGGTTCTGTTGCCTGCTGGCAGACATGCATTCTGAGCTGCTGCCTGCTGGCTGGCCAGTGTGCTCTTTGAGCTGTGTTGCTGCCTGCTAGGGAGCTTACACCCTGAGCTGGCTGCTTTATGCTGCCCCTGCTGAGCCCGCCCAAGCTTCTGTTACACATGTAATCAACCTAAGTTGAAAGTTTTGATAATTGATGTTTAAGGCCTGGAGAATGTCATTGAGGCCCTCTTTCAAGTAGCCCTGGGTTATTTGTCTCACAACCTTTGCCAGATGCTACCATGCTGGAAGAGGTCACCCCTCTCCAGACCTCATGGCTACTTGGGGAGCCTTGGGGTCGATACAGTGAATAGCAATGGGAGTTTGAATGGTTTACAGACACCATTGCCATCCCTATACGTGATGGAGCTCTCTGGAGAGCTGCTGCTTTTTATCCCTTTATGGGGTCATCCCTAACTAAGGACAGGACACAGTGTCAGCACAATTAGCTGGACTTCAGGCAGTCATCTTAGCCCTGATCCCTAGCCAACAATCTGCTTCAGCTGCACATGTTTACAGATGCATGGGTTGTTCATTGCCAATAGTCAGCCATCTGGTCCAGCCAAGTGGCAGCAACAATTCCTTATCCAAGGTTGCATCCTTATGGGTCAAAAACTCTAGGAATCTCTTGCTTCACAGATACCCAAAATATAAACCAAGGTCACCCATATCTCTGCACCTACGAAAGCAACAATATGAGGGCTCACCAAGACCCTTCTTATCTCCTTTGCAGTTCTAAATATTATTGATAGCAACCAACGCACACATTTCACTTGGCAAAATACAGAGCACTGGGCTCTTAAGGCATTCAACAGAACTTTCACCTCCCTAACCAGCCTACAGGCTTCATAGCACACCATAATGGTTTGTTTCTTACAAGTTCAAATTCAATTAAATGAAACATGGCCACATTTCAGACATCAGTCCAATATCAAGGGTGAATTTTAATAAGGAGTCCGACCCCGTTATTGCTATTTGAGTGTTGACACCTTCCAGCCTCTGTGCCTAACCTGGCCCTCTCACCCCACAGCTGAAGCCAGTGACAAAGCTCAAGGAGCTGCCTCCCTTTGTGCCAAGGAAAAGTTCAGCCCACGCACGATCTGGTCCGCGTGAGGGAGCCCTCACTTCAGCCCCACCCCTAACCACCAGAAGACTCAAGTCGCTTCTCCCTGCTTTCTTCAGCTGTTTTTGGACCTTCTTTGGAGACTGCCCTGCTCTTCCCAGAAAGCCTGATTATGTGAGTAATAGCATTCTTCATACCCTCTTAGTGTGTGTGGTGTGTTAGTCTCAAAACCAGAGTCAAATTTTGCTTGTGGGATCCATATACTTCCGTGGGATGACCAGAGCAATACCAATAATAAACCCACTTCATGTTAGGTAAAACAATAACACTTTAAAACAATAATAGGGCTTCCCTGGTGGCGCAGTGGTTGGGAGTCCGCCTGCCGATGCAGGGGACGTGGGTTCGTGCCCCGGTCTGGGGGGATTCCGTGTGCTGTGGAGCGGCTGGGCCCGTGGGCCATGGCCGCTGAGCCTGCGCATCCGGAGCCTGTGCTCCGCAACGGGAGAGGCCATAGCAGTTAGAGGCCTGCGTACCGCAAAAAAAAAGAAAAAAATAATAATAAATTTATTTATTTATTTTTGGCCGCATTGGGTCTTCGTTGCTGCGCGCGGGCTTTCTCTAGTTGCGGCGAGCAGGGCTACTCTTTGTTGCAGTGCACAGGCTTCTCATTGCGGTGGCTTCTCTTGTTGTGGAGCACAGGCTCTAGGCACGTGGGCTTCAGTAGTTGTGGCGCACGGGCTTAGTTGCTCCACGGCATGTGGGATCTTTCCGGACCAGGGCTCGAACCTGTGTCCCCTGCATTGGCAGGCGGATTCTTAACCACTGCGCCACCAGAGAAGTCCCAACACATTTTTAAAAATAAAAAATAATGATCTTCTTCAAAATAGGGAAGCATTTAGTGAGAAGAATGTGGTTTTTTTTACATTAAAAATGTTTTATTAAGGCCTCGCCTAATAGAAGACAGTTTGATTCTCACCTTCTTTTTCATTAGTCTGTTGCAAGGTGTTGTTCTGGTTAAAGTGTTTGAAGAAAATTCACCCTCACTGTTATGTAGTTAGCAAGGGGAAGAAAATTTTGTTTTTAGATGATTATTAGATAATTGTGACTATTGTGTGATACTACCCCCAATGCTTGGCAAGTGGTGGTTCCCTAAGTTGCAATGTGTAATCTAAAACCATATCAATGGACTTTTCCTACTCGGCTACATTAAGATCCATCTTTTGCACTTTTTTTTTTTCCATCTTGCACTTTGAATAGATATTTTACCCATGCTTGGTTTTTTAACATCATGGATTGATAATTTGGGAAATATTGATTAACTGAGTTATGCAAGTCTTATAAAAGTTAACACACTTCATTATGTAATATAGAAAAAATTACCTTTGGAATATGACTATAGATCTTATTAGAAAAGTCTTACAATATTGGGAACCTGTCAAGCTCATGGTGGTAGGCACAAGTTTTCCAAAATTTCACTTGTCACTTGAAGGCTCAAATCTTATCATGGGCAACAAAGGCTGTCAGTTGTCTTCACTTTATTCATTTTCAAGGAGATGCCTGCCAAATACTCAAATGTGAATAACTCTAGTTTGGGCAGGTGTTCTTTGAAGTATAAATGGTATTTCATGAAAAATGCAACTCGTTCAGTTTGCAAGTCAAGGGCTTTTCGTGGACAACTTCAGGATGCAACAAAAGCGCTTTATGCCTGTTTATGTCGTACACAAGATATTAAGATGTGTATGCAAGGATCAAGATTTGATAAAATTAATGACTTTTTACTGCCTGATTAAGAACATTCTTAAATGATACTGGCTTTTTAAAAAAAGTACATGGAGATAAAGAATGCAGTAGCTGCTGGTGGTTTGGTGCCACTCCCTTGATTGGTATTGAGGCACCAGCAATTTTAAGAGACTAGGAATCTGGAGTCAAGTGTTCTGTTCTGGCCCCTATGCTACCCAGCATAGAAATTTCCATGTAGCAGAGGCTCAGTAAGTATTTTTTAGGTGATTGATGCACTGTGTGACCTTGGGAAATCACTTAGCTTCCCTGGGTTTCAATTGACTATAAACTGAGGTGAACCTGGTGATCCTTAAGACTGAGAAACAGCGATGATTCCTCGTTGTTTCGCTTAAAATAAAAATTCACCTTTTAGGTCTGCCTGTCACTATCTCATTCCTTCGCTAACTTAAAAAGAGAGCTTTCATTCCTTTCTAGATTCAAGTAAACAGTAGGAGTTTTATTTATTTTTTCCCAACCTTCCTAGAAATAGAAAATCCTTTGTAGGTACACTGTCTCCTACATTTGGAAACATACAAGTGGATACAGGTGGTCAAACCCTAAAGGCTGCTCCCCTATAAATGTGCATTTCTGTAAGGGAGCAGAGCACATTGATAATCTGATGGGTTAGTTCACCTGTGGAGAATAGTATCTTCTCATCTTTTAAATTGGTGCTAGATGATTGGCAACATCCATTAAAATCCTTATAAAAGACCCCGGCTTATTTGGAGGTAGGTGAAGAGAATGAATCCAAATCAAATGAAAAACCAAGAGGTGAACAATTTTTTTTAAAATTTATTGGGGAGTTCCCTGACAGTCCAGTGGTTAGGGCTTGGCACTATCACTGCCGTGGCCTAGGTTCAATCCCTGGTCGTGGAACTAAGATCCCGCAAGCTGCGTGGCATAGCCCCCTCCAAAATTTTTTTTTATTGAAGTATAGTTGATTTATAATGTTGTGTTAATTTCTGCTGTACAGCAAAGTGATTCAGTTATATACATATATATGTATATATATATTCTTTTTCATATTCTTTTCCATTATGGTTTATCACAGGAGATTGAATATAGTTCCTTGTGCTATACAGTAGGACCTTGTTGTTTATCCATTCCATATATAATAGTTTGCATCTGATAATTCCAAACTCCCAATCCTTCCCTCCCTCCCCCCCACCCACGTTGGCAACCACAAGTCTGTTCTCTATGTCTGTGAGTCTGTTTCTGTTTTGTAGGAAAGTTCATCTGTGTCATATTTTAGATTCCATATATGTGATACATGATATTTGAAAAACATGGAACCCTTCACTAATTTGCATGTCATCCTTGTGCAGGGGCCATGCCAATCTTGTCTGTACCATTCCGATTTTAGTATATGTGCTGCCGAAGCGAGCACAGGGCTGGGTTGAAGTGTGTCCCTCTCCTCCCCTCCAATTCATGTCTATCCGTGACCTATGAATGTGAACTTGTTTGGAAATAGGATCTTTGCAGATGTAATTAAGTTAAGATGAGGACACGTTGGATTGGGATAGGCCATCTTATAACGAGAGGGAGACAGAGACACAGACACAGAGAGAAGAAGGTCATGAGACCGTGGGGGCAGAGACTGGAGTAATGGAACTTCAAGCTGAGGAAACCCAAGGGTGGCCAGTAACCCCTGGAAGCTAGAAGAAGCAAGGAGAGATTCTCCCCTACAGGTTTCAGAGGGAGCATGGTCCTGCCAACACCTTGATTTTAGACTTCTGGCCTCCAGAACTTGGTGAGAATAGTTACTCTAAGCTACCTCATTTATGGTGCTTTGTTACAGCAACACTAGGAAACTAATACAGCATGTTAAAAATCATCCATTTGAGAAAAGTCAATGTCATTAACTCTAATTAGTTCTTAGACATCTCTAGGTCTGAGATTTAGGTGGAAATATTGCCTTATGCCTGTGACCTTTAAAGATATGAGTCTTTAAAAGATAACAGTGAAAACTCATCGAGTTTCCATGTCAGGAGACCTTATAGGTATAACCTGGGTTTTTCTGATCCTGGTCACTAGTTCCAGCTCCCTGGAAAGACCCATTTTCCTCCACACATTTTTAGAAGCCCCCAGTGCAGGGCCCTGACTGGTTGATGCAAGGGGTACAGGGCAAGTGCTTCCCTAAATGCTGTGCCCCAGGGTTTGCCCTTACTGTACTTCTAGCCCCACCCCAGAGTGCTCACAAGTGTGCATGAACAAAAAGTCATTGTCGAAACCATACCAAAGACACCCTGGATGAGACTTCCCCAGTGGGCAGTTAGAATCTGCATTTCATGAAACTTTCCAGGTGACTCTGAGGCTGACCTAGGTTCCCTGGCTCTATTTGTTCCAAGTTTTAGGCCTCTTTTTTTTTTTTTGGCCATGCCAAGGGGTTTGCGGGATCTTAGTTTCCTGACCAGGGATTGAACCCAGGGCCTCAGCAGTGAAAGCACCCAGTCCTAACCACTGGATCTCCAGGGTCACAATGAGGCCCAGAAATATGATTCAAAATATCTTTTTGCCTTATACTTGCCATATTCACATGGGTTTAAAGTGCAAATGTTCCAAGGAAAGATAACACATTGTCGTGCAGCAGGGGAGCCTGGGGGACCTAGGGCAAAGGAGAGGTTGGAAATGAAGAACAAATGAAAGAAAGACTGTATAAGCTCAATAACAAAAAAACAAACAACCCAATCCAAAAATGGGCAGAAGACCTAAATAGACATTTCTCCAAAGAAGATATACAGATTGCCAACAAACACATGAAAGAATGCTCAACATCATTAATCATTAGAGAAATGCAAATCAAAACTACAATGAGATATCATCTCACACCAGTTAGAGTGGCCATCATCAAAAAATCTAGAAACAATAAATGCTGGAGAGGGTGTGGAGAAAAGAGAACCCTCTTGCACTGTTGGTGGGAATGTAAATTGGTACAGCCACTATGGAGAACAGTATGGAGGTTCCTTAAAAAACTACAAATAGAAATACCATACGACCCAGCTATCCCACTACTGGGCATATACCCTGAGAAAACCATAATTCAAAAAGAGTCATGTACCAAAATGTTCATTGCAGCTCTATTTACAATAACCAGGACATGGAAGCAACCTAAGTGTCCATCAACAGATGAATGGATAAAGAAGATGTGGCACATATATACAATGGAATATTACTCAGCCATAAAAAGAAACGAAATTGAGTTATTTGTAGTGAGGTGGATGGACCTAGAGTCTGTCATACAGAGTGAAGTAAGTCAGAAAGAGAAAAACAAATACCATATGCTAACACATATATATGGAATCTAAGGAAAAAAAAAAAGGTCATGAAGAACCTAGGGGTAAGACAGGAATAAAAACACAGACCTACTAGAGAATGGACTTGAGGATATAGGGCAG